TAATACTTCTCCAAGGCAATGTGTATTATATATTGAACAGACTTTAAAGGGGGCTTTTCATGTATTAAAAAAATTCATTAGTGTGCTTTGAGGATAATATTCACTTAATAAAATACACAATGTTTCTTTTGCCCAAAGCATTTTGAAGCCATGAAGGGAAATGAGATCTTCCCAGGAGCTATGATAAGCACATTTCTAGGGTCAGGAGGCTAGAAGGCGCCTTTTTGCAAAAATTTTCTTAGAGTCATCAATTTAAATCCATCTGGAGAAGCAGTCAGTAATCCTGTAATAAAACCCTGGTTCTACAATATACCGCTATAATACCTTGTGTGGAATCCATTCTTATAATATATTTACCCTACATTTAATACGTCCTAATACCTAGTATTGGTCAGGGCTAAATTTGAATAAATGCTGATTATTTTATATGAGAATGTGCAGGCAGGATATTTATTTCTGTTCATATATCTAGACAAATATACAGTTAATATAGATGCTATGAATATCGATTTAAACATAGATATGAATATAGCTATAGATATATTCCAGGTTAAGAATGTAAATAAGTTCATGGTGGGGATAGATAAATTTATGAAGACGACTTTTACCTGTAGGAAGTTGTCCTACCTCCCAACTTTCATGTTAGGTTGGAAGGTCCAGAGTTAATTATTATTGAATCACATAAATGGCATGAGAATAAACAGGCTTTTGGGTAAACAGGCTGTGTCAAAAGAGTTATTCCCTCCAGTGCTGGGACAGGCAGAAGTCCCAGTCCCTCTCTTGCTCTCAGCTGCAAGCCCCACCTGATCGTCCACAACCCCTGACTGGCCCTACCAGAACCAGATTCTAGAAGGCCTGCCCATGCGCACCTTCGACACTGCCAAAGATCACAACTCCAACCATGATTCAGCCCTTTATGCCAAAAACACATTCATCCACATTGAATCATCACCGATGCCCTGAACCTAACAGTCTTTTCAGACTTTACTGTTTCTGTGAATGATACTCTTTGCTCGTAATGGTATCAGATTTGTGAACTTAAAATGTGTTTTTCATGTTTTGATTAAAGAAAAAAAAAAAGCAAGGAACAACAAAAAATCAAATTATACAAAGTTTTCAAAGTATCTATTTTAAGACCACTTCACTCCCACACCCTTCCAAAATTCCCAGTTTCCAGAGGAAAATAGCATTAATTTTAATGTTTTTTTCTTTCTGACACTCAGGCTTTTCTTCTGCTTTTAACAAAAATCAGATAGTATACATATATATAATATACATATATGTATATCTGTTTACAACATGCCCCTTTCACTTAAAGCTTATTCAGATCAGTTTATTCAGTTACTTCTTTCTCACATTATTCCGTTGTATAGACATACCATACTTAACCATTACCTGGCTGATGGTTATATTTAAGTACTTTTGCTGTCATTTCTTAATAGGGCATATTTTCAGAAGTGAGATTGCTGACTCATACATCGCCTATCCTATGTGAATAATTTTTAATAAATTCTGCCAAATTATTGGGATCCATTTTGGACTTCTTTTTCTTTATACTAATCTTCTCCTTTATAGGCTCCAACTCAAAATCTATAGAAACATCCTTGGTAATATCATCCTCCCATTTAATCCTGGCCTGACATTCTCCTGGCTACATTTTTTAGGTACTGTTTAGATACTAACATGCTTGGACACTGACTTCACTTCCTCACCGGTTTTTGCTTACCTGGTCTCCCGTTCTGTGCCTTGCAGCCATATTAATCTTCTCAAAAAGTTGCCTTATGCCTATCACATCTCTATAATCTTCCATGAGTCCCCATTACCTAAAAAAAAAAAAAAAAAAAAAAAAAAAAAAAAGAATCTTAACCGTGCATTCAAGATCCTTTGCAATCAGGCTTCAGTCTTTCTCATTTTGTCCTTATCTCTCTTATTTAAAAATTAGAACTGTGGCATCTAGAACTTTGGCTTAAAATTTAGTACAGCTGACAGCAAAATGTATGTTCTTACTATCACATCATGCTTCAATTCAATTCAATAAGTATTTATTTGGCATATACTCCATGCCACACACTCTATTAGGTGCTATAGAGGATTAACATTTAAAAAATAATGACGCACGATTGACATTTAATCCTGGTGCTTCCCTCCTTGGCAGCAACTGTGCTCTGCGCTATGTGACCTCGCCTCTGGCAACATATAGGAGGTTAAAACAAATGTAGGCACCTATCCTGCCTGTCTGTTGCTACCTAACAAGCCATCCCAAAACTCAACGGCTTAAAACAATGACAACACTTATGTGGCTCACACATCGGCAATTTATGTAAAGCTCAGAGGAGATAACTTGTTTCTGCTCTGCTCTGCTCGGCATCAGCTATGGTAGCTTAAAGGCCAGGACTGCGAATCATCTGAAATCTTGTCCACCCACCAGTCTGGAGGTTGGTACTGGCTGTCGGCTGGGTCCTCGGTGGGGACCATAACCTGGGACACTTTCACATAGCAACTCTGTGAGGTCTTTCCCCTTCCTTGGTTTCCAAGCGTAAGCACCCCCAAAGGGCCAGGCAGTTGTTTTGCCTGTTAGGACGTAGCCTCTGAAAGCACATAATATCACTTCCACTGCAGATACAAGCCCACCTAGATCCAAAGGGAGGAGGTATAGACCCCATCTCATGAAGGACTGTCAATGTCACATTGCAAGAAGGTGTCACGTTGCATGTTTGGTGGTGTCGCCATCCTTAGAATACAATCTGACACACCACCTATAGATGTGCCTGTGACCTGTCATGGGAAAATAATTCAGGAAAACCAAACTCCCTTTCAAGTAAATATAGCTTGAGAACAATTTAGACAATGAATATAGCTGCTGGAGATTAATCTGGAAGAACAGAACAAAGAAAGAGGAGGAGGGCATGATGAAGCATGTGTTCACTGAAGTTATGGGGCCATAGAAACCGAGAGTAAGAACCCAGGTTCTGTTCATTTTTATACATACATATCCCTACCAGGGCATAGTACCAAACACGTAACAGATGCTCAGATATGTCGTAGGAAGAAATACATGAATGACTGACTGGAAAGGGAGAACACAAAAGGAGGGGTAAATTTGGAGGGGGAAAGATGAGATTCTATTAGAATTATATTGACTTTGAGGTTCCAGTGATAGCTCCCCACTGAGATGTCTGGCAAGCAGTTAGTGAGTGGGTCTGTGGCCCAGAAGAGAGAGCAAGAGTTGGGGGAAGGGCTTAGTAAGGCGTGGACAAGGTGAAGCTTCGACTAGATGAGACTGCCAAGAAGGAGTGTGGAGAAGCAGAGGAAGTAGAGAAAGAGCAATGACTAATGCTCAAACAAAATAAGACTGGTTAATACTATCAACTCAGAGTCCGAACGCCTGGATTCAATGTCTGTCATACCTGATTCACCACTTAGTAACTGTGTGTTTTCTTAGGTTTAGCTACTTAATCTGTCTTTACATCGATATCCTGTCATAACATTGTTATAATAATAAAACCTACTCCATAGGGCAATGGATTAATGATATAGGGCCCGAAAAGTACTTTGAACAGAGCCTAGCATTCAGGAAGTAATCAATGCATACCAATTCTATAACTACTTTTATTTTTTTTAACATCTAAGGTTTAGGAATGAGCAGAGGACGAGACAGAGACTAGTATTGAGAACGAAGGCCCTATGAAACCTTGTATAATAGTCTTGATAAGTGGCTGCAAGTTGTAAGCATTAGTGAGTTGACAAACATCAGAGGTGCTGATTTTGTTAATAAAAAAGGGGGTGACATGGTGAGTTGTATTTTCTCTCCCAACATTTCATAAAGCTTGTGCTTTTTGGGATGGTATAGTAATGTGCTGTGTCAAAAAAAAAAAAAAAAAGTGTGTTCTATAGTCAAATAAGTTTGAGAAATGTTGCAGTAAACAAAATGAAGTAGATGTTTCCTTAAATGCTAATATGAGCCACAGTTTTGCTAAGAAGGGGCTAGGGAGAGCATTATTTCCCAGACTCTTGTAAGTTTTTTTAGGGATCATTCTGCAAAACGTGTGTGTAAAACACAACTTCTCAATGCTAGTCAAGGAAGAATCTCTTGAGAAATTTCTTTAAAAAATACGTATTACTGGATTTATTCCACAGATTCTGATTCGAAAGTCTGGACTGGTATTAAGGAATCTGTATTTTTTAATCTTCCCTGGTGTGGCCTTGTCTCCAGGCAACCAGAAAGTGGAATTTTGCCCCTCCCATAATCCATCTCTTTCCAACCTTTTCTGAGATAATACGGCTCCTACAAAGAATGGTAGGGGGAAAAAAAAAAAAGGTGTGTGTGGTGGGGGGGTTATTCTGCCACCAAGGAGATAAGAAAATAGAACATCAACATTCAAGAATACTTCCACTGAGTTAGCCTCAAGAAGCATGGATCCCAGGCACTAAAAGAAATCTAGAATTTGCCACAAAAACCTGGCAACTCCATGTGATCATTCACACTGGCTCCAGAAACCTGTCTGGACTCCAGAAATAAGGTGCTCTGTCTCTCCCCCACTCATTTTCTTTCTCTTTTTCTCTTTCTCTCTCTCTCTCTCTCTCAAAATGAATAAACATTAAAAAGAAAAAAACAGAAATAAGGAAATCCAATAATGTATCTGGGTAGGTTAATGAGCACAAAGATTCATCAAACACACATAGCATGATGGTTACCTATGTATCTGTTATACTTTTAAAAGCCTTCAGATAATTGAATGAAAGCTAATGATATGATACCAGAAAAAATATAATTATGGAAAAGTAGTTGTAGGCTCTACATGTAAAGAAATTTGAACTATCATTCCATGAAATTAGTGGTAATCAAACAGATTTCCAAAAATTCCCAACAGAACTTTGAAGCAAATTCAGACTAGAATTTTTTTTTTTTTTTTTAGCTTGCTTAGAACCCATATAGATATGGGGACAGTTGTATTCTTTGTGTGCTTGTATAAAATTTAATCTAAGAACAGCCTCCTTACCTGAGATTTACTTGGAGATCAGACCTGAGAATATACAACCTAAGAGACGTTGTCTTAGAACCATTTGGAAAGAAGACATTTTCCCGTGAATATTCTATCTAGGAAGAATTCAGCAAAGAGTGAATGATTTAACATATTTCCACATTCATATTCTATTTCAAAACTTTTATAGTAAAAATAAGAGAAGATAAAAGGCATGGCATCATTTCCAAGCTTCTCTCTACACATTCAAGCAATTATTCATTTTCTATGTCTGGCAGGATGAGTTTGGGCTGTGGTCAGTCTTGGCCTTTTCTGATACCCCTGGTGTAGAGGGCGAGAGTGAGGGTAAATTAAGAAAGTTCACCCATGCTACACTTTTACAGGGTGGAAAAAAGACTAAAGAGATACAACCACTAAGTGCAGTACATGATCCTAGATTAGTTCCTATAAAGGATATTGTTGGGGGTGCCTGGGTGGCTCAGTCGGTTAAGCATCTGACTCCAGCTCAGGTCATGATCTCACAGTTCATGAGCTCAAGCCCTGCTTCTCTCTCTCTGCTCCTCATGAGATTCTCTGCACCCTCACTCACTTGCACCCCCTCTGTCTCTCAGAAAAAAAAAAAAGATACTGTTGGGACAATTAATTAAACTTAAAAGAAGTTAGTGAATTCAATGGTAGTGTCAATGATGATTTCCTGATTTTGATCCTTATATTGTGAGTTTCTGGAGAATATCCTTGTTTGATGAGTTACGTCACTAAACTATTCAGTAATGACTGGCACCATATTCAAAACTTACTTCCAAATGCTTCCAGGAAAAATATTTGTTGTGTTATTCTTGCAACTTTTTTAAAAAATTTATTTTATTTTATTACTTTATAAAATTTCATTTAAATCCAAGTTAGTTAACATATAGTGTAAAAATAGTTTCAGGAATAGAATGTAGTGATTCATCGCTTACATATGACACCCAGTGCTCATCCCAACAAGTCCCCTCCGTAATGCGCATCACCCACTTAGCCCATCCCCCCACCCAACACCCCTCCAGCAACCCCTCAGTTTGCTCTCTATATTTAAGAGAATGGTTTGCCTCCCTCTCTCTTTTTATCTTATTTTTCCTTCCTTTCCCTTACGTTCATCTGTTTTGTTTCTTAAATTCCACATAAGAGTGAAATCATCTGATATTTATCTTTCTCTGACTGACTTCTTTTAGCATAATACATTCTAGTTCCATCCACATTGTTGCAAATGGCAACACTTTTTGATCACTGAGTAGTATTCCATTGTGTGTATGTGTATATATATATACGACATCTTCTTTATCTATTGTCAGTTGATGGACATTTGGGCTCTTTCCATACTTTGGCTATTGTTGATAGTGCTGCTATAAACATTGGGGTGCGTGTGCCCCTTCAAATCAGCACTTTTGTATTCCCTGGATAAATACCTAGTAGTGCAATTGCGGGGTTGTAGGGGAGTTCTATTTTTAATTTTTTGAGGAATGTCCATACTGCTCCAGAGTAGTTGCACCAGTTTGCATTCCCATTTTGCAGCTTTTCTGAAGGTTGAAGTTATTCTAACTATAACAAAACTAAAATTGGCCCTAGTAAATTAGCATTTATTTTATTGTTTGTGTTAGTTTATTGTTGATTTCCTCAGGTTCTCTGAGTAAGCTGTCATATCATTGGAAAACAGTTTTAGCTCTTTTCCAATTCCTGTGTCTCTTATTCTTCTGCCCTTTTACATTGTATTGGCTAATGCCTCTAGAACAATATTCAACAGTAGTAGAGATGGTAAGCATTCTTGACTCTTTCCTAATCTTAGTGGAACTATCTCTAGTATTTCTCATTAAGCACAATGCTGATTTTAGGACCAAGGTATTCTGCTTAGGAAATACGCATCGATTCTTATTTTCTTGAGTGTTTTTATCAGGAATCTTTTGTCAAAAGCTTTTTTTTTTTTCCTATAGGGGATAATCACATAATTATTCCACTTACATCTACTGATGTGGAATTTTATATTACTAGATTTCTTAATTCCCAATCATCCTTGCATTCCTGAAATAAATCCCACTTGATCATGGTATATTTTCTTAATGTGGTGTTGGATTTTGTTTTCTAATATTTAATCAGTATTTTTGCATTGATATTGGATGATTGCTTCTGAATATATCTAGATATTTATAATCATGTTTCTCCTTACTGCTTCTAGGAGAGCAATCTCCATGAAAAGGAGCTTGGTGACAACAGAAAGGATGTGGGAGGTGGGGTAATGGAGAGATGGAGAGACTTCAGAGTCACCCGGACCTTTTGAAGGTTGCTGGTCCCCTCTGCAAACTGACTTGGTGACCTTGGAAAAGTTATTCCTTCTCTTCTTCCTTTTATTTTCTCATCTGTCACATAGGAGAACCCACCATAAGAAGTTAGGTGATGACAAAATGTTGTCTATAAAAACTTCAGTACGATGTCTGGCACAATGGAAGCCCACATAAGCATTGGGATATTTTATTACAAATAAATATTTTTCTTCTGCTGATCCTCACATTATTTTTTATTATTTATTTATTTATTTTTAATTTTTTTTTTCAACGTTTATTTATTTTTGGGACAGAGAGAGACAGAGCATGAACAGGGAAGGGGCAGAGAGAGAGGGAGACACAGAATCGGAAACAGGCTCCAGGCTCTGAGCCATCAGCCCAGAGCCCGACGCGGGGCTCGAACTCACGGACCGCGAGATCGTGACCTGGCTGAAGTCGGACGCTTAACCGACTGCGCCACCCAGGCGCCCCCTCACATTATTTTTTTTAAAAAGTGGTATTGGTGAACAGATGCCATATTTCCTCAGGAGGTACTTAGTGTCTCAGTTTAAATGGTCCCCAGAATTTTGCTAGGATTACTGAGCACAGAGGAGATTAAGCAGACCAGTTTCAGTGAGCCAGGTTTGTATTTTGTCTCTGCTTTTACAGTTCCCCCTTTCTGCTCTGGAGGTCTGTATGTGAGTAATAAGCACTTGATGAGTGCCAAGTGGGGACAAGAGGGAAGACAGTGAAAGGAATGGAAAAAGAAGATAAAATTTCTTGAACCCCTACTCCACTGCAAAGGCCATTGTAGGTATATGTGCAGTTAAATAGGTGAGGAAAGCTGAAAGGTAGCATCAAGACCTCAAAACCTGAGAGAACCATCTTGAGAAGCAACTTGGTAGGAGCATTGCTTCTCTAAGAGTTAAGATTAGCCTCTGTTCTTTTCTTCTCATTCACAATTTCTCTGGATAGAGGAGAATGAAGAGACACATTCTCTCTGGGTGGAGCTCTTGGCTACTTTATCTCTTAACCAGTGTCCTGAACAGCAGGAAATCGCTCTGTACGAGGTAGCAGTCCTGCTTCTAAGGCCCCTGGGTGTGAAGGAGGTAAAGAGAGTGCTAATTTATTGAGGTATGTATTCTGTAACTCTTTATTAGTGTTGCATTTATTTTACAACCCTTACTTGGGATGGCAGAAACGAAGACACTCTGAACTACTCTAAGATTGGTGGAGTGCTCCCATAAAATGTCGTGGCTGGGCCAGCGAAAAGAGGCTGGCCTAAAGACATTGGCATTTGTGCTAAACCCAGAAAGTTGAAGCTAACTGGGAGAGCAAAATTTGTGGGAAGTAGCGTAGTGCAGGTATTTAAGAAACAGGCTCCTCCTGTTGGGATGAGCACTGGGTGTTGTGTGGAAACCAATATGACAAGAAATTTCATATGACAAAAAAAAAAAAAAAAGAAAAGAAAAGAAATAGGCTCCAGGTGGACACAGACACAGGTCTATATATCTTGTCTCTGTCTCTTTCTTGTTATTAACCTTGAACAAGTTCCTTACATTTTCTGAAATGTATTGTCTGCACAACAAGGAAAAAGTACCTAATATACATGTGTTTGTGGCAAAGATTAAAGGAGATAATGTAGATAAAACACTTAGCACAGTGCCCAGCTTGTGAATCCTCAAACATAATGGCTATTATTATCATTATTATCTGGTCTTCAACAGTGTTCTTTCATCCATGCCTCTGTCCATAGTCTTTTCCTTAGATCTCAAGCTTCATTTTTTTAAAAAAAATTTTTTTAACATTTATTTATTTTTGACACAGAGAGAGACAGAGCATGAAGGGGGGAGGGTCAGAGAGAGGGAGACACAGAATCTGAAACAGGCTCCAGGCTCTGAGCTGTCAGCACAGAGCCCGATGCGGGGCTCGAACCCACGGACCGCGAGATCATGACCTCAACCGAAGTCAGCTGCTTAACCGACTGAGCCACCCAGGCACCCCAAGCTTCATTTTTGAAAACAACTTACTGAGATGTAATTCCCATACCAGAGTATACATCCATTTGAAGTACAGATACCAATGGTTTTTAATGTATCTGCAGAATTTTCCACAACCCAATTTTAGAACATCTCCATCAACCCCAGAAGGAAACCCCATACTCATTAGCGGTCATATCCTATCGCTCCTCCACCTCTCCCCCACACCCAGCTCTAGGCAACTGCCAATCTACTTTTTGTCTTTATAGACTTGTTTCTTCAGGACACTTTATATAAATAGAATCATATAAGATGTGATGTGACTTGCTTTTCTCACTTAGCATAATATTTTCAAGGGTTGTCTACATTGGAGCATCCTTTCCTTTTTGCTGCCAAATAATATCCCATTACACAGATATACCACATTTTCTTTATCCATTCACCCATTGAAGGACATAAGGGTTGTTTCCGCTTTTTGGCTCTTAGGAAAAATGAAGATATGAACATTAGTATTCAAGTTATATGTGAATGTACGTTTTCATTTCTTTTGGGTATATACCTATGAGTGGAACCCTGGATCTTGTGGTAAGTCTATGGTTAACCGTTTGAGGAATCACCACATTGTTTTCCAAAGTGGCAATTTCCATTCCTCCAAGCCCTTACAAGTATCCTCTCCACAACTTGTTATCTGTCTCTTTCATCATAGACTCCCCAGGGGGTATGAAGCGATATCACATTGTGGTATTAATGTGATTTTCCCTGAGGATTAATGATGTTCAGCATCTTTTCACCTGCTTATTGGCATTTGTATATATGCAAATCCTGTGACCATTTTGAATTTTAAGAGTCATTTCATATTCCAGATACAGGTCCCTTATCAGATGTATGATTTGCAAATATTTTCTCCCATTCTGTGGGTTGTCTTTTCCCTTTCTTGATGGTATTACTTGTGGCACAAATGCTTTTCAAGCTTCTTTTTAATACAACTTATGGAAGACTATATTTCTGCATTTATCTCCTACAAAATGTTCAAGCTGGTGGACTTTCTTTTTTTTTACGTTTTTAACAAAATTATTTTTCAAAGTTTATTATTGAGAGACAGAGAGAGACAGACCTTGAGCAGGGGAGGGGCAGAGAGAGGGAGACACAGAATCGGAACCAGGCTCCAGGCTCTGAGTTGTCAGCACAGAACCCCACGCGGGGCTCGAACTCA